CAACATCTTTAAAGTGGCAGCTTCAGTCTGCTCCTCTTCTCTGGAGGTCTCAGTTCAAACCCAGCCCTGGCTGTTAAAGTGCTGTCTAGTTAACTGGCCTCTCTGAGTTAGACTAACTTGAAACAGACTCACATTCATTCCAGCAGGGTTTGCTATGACTAGATGGGTTGATATCTCCAAGGTGTTTATATAATTCCTAAGACATGATAAGTGATTACTGAATAAATGTAAGTTATTACTTACTGCTTCCTCTAGGAGGCTGCTGAAGAGATGGGATTTCATATTTGATGGGATGTTTGCAACATGTCTCATATGCACTAATACTTCACCCCAAGTGGGAATCCCAAAATACAGTGGCTTTTCCTGCCCTCTCCCTTCCCAAGAGGACATCTATTGCTTAAGCAGAGGCTTGTCACATAATGGATCACACAGGATTTCTATGGGACAGTCATTTTCCAGACAGAGGGCATATTAGGTGCAAAAAACTGAGGCCAGAAAGCCCTGTGTCCTGTTTTTAGGTGCAGAAAGGCAGCCATCATAGCTAGACTAGAAAATGGATAGGGGATAGTTTTGAAGGTAGCAGGAGAGCAGGTCTCTGCAGCTCTGTAGCACAGGAGGATTTTTTTAAAGTGCATTTCATATTTTAAAATTTTTGCTGCCATTTTGCTTATTCATTTGGTGTGCATCTGTGTGCGTGTGTGTGCGTGTGTGTGTGTGTGTGTGTGTGTGTGTGTGTGTGTGTGTGTGTGTGTGAATATATGCCACAGCACACAAGTGGAGGTCAAAGGACAACTTTGAGGAGTCCTTTCTTTCCCTATACTATGTGTGTCCAAGAGGCTGAACTCAGGTCATTAGACCTGACAGCTGCAGAGGACTGTACAGATTGGGCCACCTCACCAGCCCACCTTTCAGTTTTAAACCATTCAAAGTCAGTGAGTCACCTAGTGTGCCAAGGGAAAGGCTCAGTCTGGCTTTGGAGAACAAAGATAGAAACATAGGGACCAGGTATCATGACTTTACCTGTAGAGCAGTAACAGAATGGCAAACTTAAAAATGATCAGACCATAGAAATGATTCCAAAGTAGAAGCAATATGATTTGCCATGTGGTTTGCAAGGACAGGAGGAGTCAATGATACCACCAGTCCTTTTTGGTCTAAGAAGGAATCAAAGGACAGACCCTATTGCTGGGTATAGAAATATGAAGGCTAGAATGAAGTATCTTCAGTTTTGGGGGAAAGGCATAAGTGGAGAACTCTGTTCAGATGGAGTTAAGTTTGAGATCCCAAACAGGAGACACTGAGTTGGGTATAAGTCCAGAGTGATGACAAGGGACCAGTGTTATAGATCTGGTACATGAGGCTTCTTCAACTGAGCTTCAGAACAGGCTTGTAAAAAGGATCACAAGGTCACAGAGAGACTGTGTAACAGACAGCAGGTGGAAGTTTCAAAGTCTCATGGGACATGCTTGAAGCAGGAGCCAGAAAAGTGCAGGAATCCCAGCAAAGGGAGCATGGAAGGGTGACTCCTGAACAAGAGAGAAGAGCAGCTCAGTAGTTCTTCTTGACAAAGGGGAACTTTAAAAAAAAAAAAAAACTCTGTGTGTGTGTGTGTGTGTTGTGTGTGGTATATTCAGGCTCATATGTGGGGTGCCCACACAGGTCAAAATAGGGCATCAGATCCCCCAGAGTTGAAGCTGTAAATGGTTGGACACTGCCTGATGGTAGATGCTAGGAACAAACTCCAGTCTTCTGCAAGAGCAACAAACACTCAAAAGCTGACCCTTCTTCCCATCATCAAGAGGGAGCATTCTCAGAGAATGAGAAGGACACAGCCCAGCACAGTGGGTACAAGAGAGTGTGAATGTGGTATCAGTAAGTTAGAGTGCAGTTGCATTAAAAAGGAGAGTTGTTTTGTTTGTTTAATGTCAAAGGGAACAGAGAAATAAAGACCTAAGTGGACGCTGCTGGGCATCATGATTACATTGGACATGTAAAATCCTCTATAGGCTCTTGATTTTGAACTCTTGGTACTCAGGCAGGGGTGCTATTTTGGAAAGTTGTATACACTTAGGAGGAGGGACTGCGATGGAGGAATTGAGTCACTGGATATGGGTCTTTAGTACTGTGTTATCCCTGGCAGCTTCCTGTCCAGTTCTCTGCCTCTTGGCTGGTTATGAAGTGAGCCACTCTCCTAAGCCACATAAAGTTCTACCCAAAAGTACGAGGCCAAGAGATCATGAATTGAACCCTGTAAAACTTAAGCCAAAGTGACCTTTTCCTCTTTTCAGTTATTCTGTTGGTTGGTTTCTCACAATGACGAGAACGTAAGTAACCCTGGGATACAGGAAAGAGCATCCTGTTCCAAGATTAGACTCTTGCAGCACTTTTGAAGGCTCATCAGCTGACTCACTAGTCCAGTAACACTTGACAAAGGCAGGAGAGGGGGAGAGGAATCCCAGGCATGGTGGGGGTGTGGGCAGGAGCTCTGGCCCTCACAAAAAAGAGGTGGAGAATATGGCTGGGGGGGGGGGAGACTTCAGAGGATTTGATGATAACGACAGAAGGACGTTCTCTCCTGATTGCTTCTTCCACATGAAGTAAAAAGAAAGCTCCTGCGGGCACAGTGGAGCACTGGTGGAGACTAACCAGGCTGGGGAGTGGACCAGTTCTCAGTGTGTCAGTAAATAGCAAAAGTTCAAAGAAAGGCCAGTTAGTGAACCAGTGTTTGTCCAACCACACCCACTGCTTAGACAAAAACCGGAAAAGGGACAGTAGCCGCTGGGTCAGCCATCTGCTAGAAATGCCATAACGAGGACCATGTACTGGATGGCTAAGCAAAAGAAATTTATCTCTTGCAATTCTGGAGGCTGGAAGTTCAAGGTCAAAGTGTCCAATGGTTGGTTCCTTCTGAGACCTCTCCACTTGGCTTTTAGACTGCCCCTTCTTCTGTGTCTGTGTTAGCTGAGGAGGTCTCTCTGTAACAGCCTGTGACCTAACTTCCAGTTTGTATGAAAACACCAGGTGATGGGTTTGAGCCCTCCCTCAATGATCTCATATTAATTACTTCTGTAGAGGTAATTGAGCTGTCTCCACAGAGACACTGGGGTTAGGGCTTAGAGCTAAGAATTGTGGGAGTCATTACGAAATGCTGCAGTCCCTCACACTGGGTACACACTGAGAGCAGAAAGGCTGAGCAAGGATAGGACTTTAATAGTGAGCCATGGCTCCAAAGTCCTACAGAAGCTGAAGTAAGAGCAAAAGGAAGGTGAGAAACAGCGAGAACGTGAGAACGTACCAGATGTCACTGCCACTGATGGGACTGCCTGGACGGCTAAGCTTGTGTAACTTCATAGGTCAAACTCAACATTAGGTTCCTCCTCTAACCTACGTTCTTCCTGGTCTTCTTTATTTAAGTAATAAGCATCGATATCCTGGACACACAACTGCCCAACCTGAGAACTTCCCTCTCCCTCACCACACAAAACCCTGGGGAGGTTGGTCCCTGCTGCCTGCAAATGAGTCACGAAATACGATGGTCTTCCTCTCCTCTCCAACTCAATCCCCTCTCTTTTTCACCTCAGAGTGGCTTTCAACTCTTTTCCCAAATCCAGCCTGCCCTGTCTCCATGCATTCTATGCACCACAGCTAGGGAGGTGGTCCAGATGTCATTTTTTACAAAATAATTTTCCCAACGTAACTGTCTTTCTCACTTCCCAGCTTGCTCCAGACACTTCCTACAGCATGTGGGCCCCCTCTCACCTCACCCCTCTTCCACAGTCACCTTGGTCCCCAATCTCCATGGCCCTCCAGTGCTCTTGGTCCTCTCTGTCCCCAGTCAGCCCAAGCTCTCCTTGGCCTTTGACCTTCACAGGTGCCATACGCTGCTGCTGAGTCATCAGGTCTCAGTACACACTCTCCAGGAAGCCTTCCCAAATGGAGGCAGGTGTATTAGATGCTTTGGTGGTTGTGGTGACAAAAACAAGAATAGGAAGGTTGGTGTGAGCTTATGGCTTGAAAGTCTTGTCCACCATGGCAAAGATGATATGGAGGAAGCATTAGGCAGCTGGTCCTCTTGCTTCTTCAGTCAGGAAGCGTAGAGCAAAGAGAGCTAGCACTCACTTCACATTCTTTTCATTTAGACTGGGATCCCAACCCATAGCATGAGGCTATACGCATTTAGGGTGGATCTTGTTACTCCAATTAGAAAATCTCCAATCTAGAAAATCCCCCACAAACATGCCCAGTGGCTTGTCTTCTAGATGATTTTAGAGTCAAAATTAACCTTTACAGTAGGTCTCCAAGTTGTACACTCTCCTAGATGCCAGCAGATCTCCTGAAACAAGACAGATCTCAGAGGCTTAGAAATGAACTACACAGCCACCAAACACAACTTTGGAGTTTCTTCTGGGCTTCCTTCCCACTAGATCAGGTGGTTGCTAAGGGTGTGGTCAGTAACAA